CCTTTGAAGCATGAAAGAATACACACTAGATAAATGGATAGTTTGCACAATGTTGGGCTGTCTGTAGCTGATAAATGACTGAAACAATTTACTTTGTACCTAACAGATATATGATGGTGAAGCATTACAAAACAACCAGACCCTGAACTCAAACAGTGGGACAAAAGAAGTGGAATATGCCACCATTGATTTTTCCCTGTTAAAAACAAAGCCAGCAAGGACGCAAGAAAGCACAAAGACGGAGTACGCTGAAATCAAGAGGATAATAAAAAAAGAACAAGAAAATGATGGTGGAGACGACGGTAAAATGTTGGAGGGGGAGATGAAACACTGTGAACCAGAAAAGAAGGACGAGGAAGATGAGGCAGTGTACTCCACTGTGAATGACATAATAGATGATAATTGAGGAATTCTTTTGTATAGTTGCTAAGGATAAATATTGATCTCTTCAGATGTAATCTATGGATTGATGGATGGATTTCCATTTTGTGTTTGAATGACAACCTTTTGAACAATTTTCTCTATGTTGTAAACTTCACAAATATTAACGAATCAAATCTTACAGGGATGAAAATGTTACCTCTGAATATAATGCTCTGCAATAGTTTAATGATTACACATATTAGAAAAATGTCATGGTTAAGCAATTTTTAGATGTCTATACTTCTTTACTATAAAATCTTGCCCAATGACATTTAGCTGTAGTAGTAAATATAGTGGCTTATCTTTTTTTTTTGTTACTTGATGTATTTTGCAGATTTTTAACGGTTTAAGTTTCCAGGTGGCAGATGGCCAACGCTGACATTGTCTGGCCACATATATTTGAAAGTGTACAGCCAAAGTGTGCGAAATGACCTTTGGAGTTTCCTTTTAGTGCTTTCACAAAATGACCTTTTAAACCATGTTTTTGTGCTTTGTATTCTTGCTGAAAAATGTACGTCTTTTTGCTTAGTAAATTTATTTTTTCCCTGTCTTGCATAAGATCATTTATTTTCTTTTTGAGTTTTTATCCGACACGTTCATCAAGTCAAAATGTTTATTTTGACCAAATCATTTGTTCTATACCAAACAATCTATTTCAAGCTAATGATATAACTAGCTTCAGTGGTTCTAATGCTAATGTCAAAAGTCCCCGAACACTCCTTAAGTACACAATAACAATGCATGTGTAAGGGTTCTTAAAAACAATATACAAAAGTCTTTACAGCTTAAAATTACAAGCAGTGTGCTTGCTCACTTTCAACAAGCACACTACAGTTTACATATTATTTGGGGCTGTTTTTAAGTTGCTTGCTCAAACAACAGTTTTCTCATTCCAGCAGTCAAAATCAGGTTATGACAGTAATGATGAAATTCCCCTTTTTCAGTATGATAACGTGTTTTCCTACAAAACAAAGCGTGCAACATTTTCTTCAGGAAAGGCATATCAGCTCTAAGACATGGCCAACAAGTGCTTAAAGTGCAAAGAATATAAACAATTTTTGATTTTATGGCTACAAAATATCAACACTCTTTATATATTCATATACTATTTATTTTCCTTTACTTGCCTCTAACAAGGTTTTGCATTCACCCTGATCAGTATGCGCCATCTAGTGGCATCTTTGAGTAACATAAGTCAAGTACAACCGAACCCAGCATCTGCACTTAAAGACACAACAAAATTTTAAAAACTCATCCTGCTTTTAACTCAATGATCTTGTACAAAATTATCTGTGATTTTTACATGATCATAACCATAAATATTTTTTATAGCTATGTTTTTAATTTATCCATCTTGTACACATATTATTAACCCTTAACACACTATGTATGATTTTAACCCTTAGCGTTATATTCCTGGTGTGTCATGGTTCTTTTATACTTTACAGATAAGTGGACCACCTCTGCATCCTCACTAAGGGTGGCTCTTTTATGTTTGTTTCAGTTTTCAGCCCCTGAAGTTGCTGCTTACTCTTTGCTTATAGCTTCTTCTGCAGAGGTCCTCATTCCCATCTCCTCCAGATGTATTTTAGGAACTAGGAATTCCTTTAAGGCAACACACTGAGATAAATTTCCAAATTACAGGCAGAAGGGTGGAGAAGAAAGAAATGGAAGCATAAAATGTGAGAGAAATGAGAAAAGCCCACACTCTCAATAACATCCATCTCCAGATTTAAATGTCATGAAAATGTTATTCATGCTTTTGTTTTCTCTAAGCTACTGTAGATGACTTCAGCTCTTTTCAGCAGCACATTTTCTCATTGGTATTAGAAAATAGACCAACATACTGCAATCCTGGCTATTGACTTGGAATTGTCACTCATTCTTTTTAAAGCATGTGGTGTCTTGGCTCCAAGTTAAAAGCACCACACGTGTTGACCCTATAGCAATCTTACATTCTCCCCTCAAGTGTTGTTTTTAGGGCTATTCCAAAATAAAAGCCTAAACAATGTTTTTGCCGTTAGGGCTCCTAACTTTGAAATAACCTGGACATAACATTTTGTCGCTACCCCAGTTTTCCTCTTTTTAGTCCTTCTGTTTAGTTTTATTCTTTTTATTCTTTTTTTTATTGTTTTATTTCCTTTTTACTTATCTTATTTGAATTGTACTTGTCGGTCTTTGACTTTCCAAGTAGCAGTAGCACAACGCTGATATTTGATATTTTTTGTGCCCAAGCAAATAATAGGCTGTTCCAGTAATTTAGTATTTTCTTCTTGTTCCTTTCTAACTTTCAGTTGTTAACATGATAACTGTGTATCATAAAGAGAATGCTTACATTGTCAGTTTGAACTGCAGGTTATCATCGGACAAATACTGTCGTTGTCTTGACCTACGACAGATGCAGGAAGACCGATACAAAAACTGTGCTATCCTTCCTGAACTGAATATAATCTTCATAATCTACATTATGTTTCTTTGGTGAGATATTACATCTTCGTTTATTATTTTAAAGGCTTTTTTTTAATGCATGTGATATCCCTCACTTTTCTATTTTCTTATACAAGAACTCAAGAAAAAAAGTTCAACTCAAAAAAGGAAAGGAAGGAAACTCTGGCCTTTCTGTTCCAGAAGGAGAGTTCATTTAAACCCTGAGTCAGTCACTGGGGTACTTTAGATCATCTGAAATTGTCCAACGATTCACATACATTTCATCTGAGATATTAGAAGCTGCCTTCTGGGAAAAAGTACCAGAGCATCCGGGCCCTCACTATGAAACTACGGAAAAGTTTCTTCCCCCCAAGCTGTCAGACTCCTGAACACTCAGGGACTGGAATGACACACACACACACACTTGAATTGTTACATTATTCTTACGATGTTACACCTCAAGTTTAACAAGAGGTTTCCATAGATACAGCGAGCACGTCAGTGCCTTATATGGTGTTAAAATACACAGTACAGCTGTCACACAGCTGTACTGTCACACAGCTGTACTGTCACACAGTACAGCTGTGTGACAGCTGTACTGTCACACAGCTGTGTGACAGTACAGCTCTGCTGAAGTATTTGCAGAGATGTTGTATGCAGCTGAAATGGGGAAATGCTGAGTGGCATTCTTTATTTTATTTTGGGCATTTTACTCCATTTAACCTACCATTTTAATCCATGCAGATGTTAGTTTTTGACAAAGCCCATTAATGGCAATACAGTTGTTCTGTTTGTGTGTTACTCTGTTGAAGTCACGTAAAAAAACCAAAAAAAAAAAAAAAAACCCACAAAAATCACAATGATATGGTTTTACTGGTATTTAAATTCCTCAAATATATTTTTCCTACTAAACACTAATTATTCAATCAATGAAATGAAACATATGTATATCATACAGAGTGTGATGTAAAGTTCAGTGTTATGCTGATAAACATCTGGAAATCCTGTTGCAAAACGAAGGAAGAAATAGAAAAAAGTGAGGAACAGAAACTTTGAATTAAAACGTCAGCACAGATCAGTTTGGACAGAAGAGAGAACAAGAACAAGACAAAAATAGGTAAAGATGGTTTTCAAGTATATACTTTAAACTGCAGATGAACCATATTTTGTTATATTATTTAACCTGTTTTTATCTTAATTATTTTATACTAAAATATTATTGATCTCACTGCTGTAATAACTATGAGTTAACTGTGTATAATACTAACATAAAACTGTCCTGTTGAGTGCTTAACTATATAAAGATTAAGTCTTTGGAGCAGCCGTAGTCCTCGGTAAAGGATGTACACATCATAATTACAACATAAATAAGCATGTGACATAAGATGTGACTTTCATGAGATGTGTGACTGTAGCTGGAGTCTTTCCTTTGATGTAATTTCTGAATGTTTATTTTTAGCATTAATACAAATTTGTCCAGTGGAGGAAGAGACTGAACGTGTCGAGCATCGAATATCAAGCATGTCTGTCCTCATCTTGGCCGCTCTGCTTTCCTCTGTGACATGTAGCAGTGCTGACATAAGTTTGTATCTTCTTCTAAGTAACCTCCTAATTCAGCTGATATTCAATAATCTTTTAACATTTGCATATAAAACTGTTTCATAACATGTATCCAGATTATAAATTATCTATTATCAACCAGAATTTATCATAATTTAGTATTACTACTGTCTCAAGTAGTAATGTATCAAGGATCAGACATGATCTTTTACTGTTTGAAACTAAAAACTGTCTATTTTTTTATATTTCCCTTGCATTAATAGGTGCCTCAGCCTGGGGACAACAACACTGTGTCAGTGGATACTGTGTCACTCTCAATGAGGGAGAAGTAACAGTAGAGGCTGGGCTCTGTGTTGTGATCCCGTGTTCTTATAGGACTGGTGATGGCTTTACACCTAAACATATAGCTTGGTATAAATGTGAAGTATCTGAACCAAGATGTGGTGATCCTATCATGATATTTCACACCAACAACAGCATTAAAGTTCAGTCTGGGTTTAAAGGGCGAGTGTCCTTTTTGGAGCCTGAGCTGAGCCAGAACAACTGCAGCATCTTCATTAATAAGCTAAAACAATCAGATTCTGGATCATATCACCTCAGAGTTATTGGTGAACTGAATGGAAAACCTGATGGATTTTCATTCTCTCCAAGAGTGACTGTTTATGTAAAAGGTATGAAAATGTAGACTAAAACAAAAACATGCTTGAAGTCTTAAACACCCAAAATGTATAACCAAAAATTAAAAATGTATTGTTTCCCCATTAGGTTTTAAGCTGAAGCCCACAGTAATGATTCCCACGCTGACAGAGGGACAGCAGGCCACACTGACCTGCACTGCTCCTGGTCTCTGCTCTGGATCTGTTCCTGAAATCACCTGGACATGGAGAGGAGCAGGAGGGATTGAATCTTACATTACAGGAAACAGCACTGATTACAAGACTGAGAATCTGACTGATGTAACACAGAGTCCTGTCTCAACTTTGACCTTTAACCCATCAGCTAAACATCACAACACAAACGTCACCTGTAAGGTCAGTTTTACAGGTGAAACAATTACAGAAGAGACTTCAACCTTGAATGTTAACTGTGAGTATTTGCTACAAACATAAAATGTTGTGAACCTTGTTGAATTGTAATGTAAAAAGTTATTTTTTGTCTTTTTGACTCATAGACTTGAAAGAAGTTAAAATAAGTGGTGTTACAAGGGTGAAGGAGCATGAATCACTGAATCTGACCTGCAGTGTTGAAAGTTTCCCTCTATCTCTGATTAGGTGGTCCAGACTTAGTTCTGACACAAACCTGCAAAGTGATTTGAGATCAGCAACATTTATAATCCTAAATGCAACAGAAAAACATGCTGGACAGTATGTTTGTACGGCTCAATATATGAACAATACTCTGAAGGAGAAAGTCACTGTAAGGGTAATGTGTAAGTTCACAATTTTGTGCTTTTACAGAAAAAATTTTTTTTAAACGTCTTCTGAAAAAGCGACAGCACTACTTTCATAAAGAACATTCCTGGAAAATGAATGTAGTCATAGAAATGGAAACATTGTAAATATTGTGTGTATATTAAAGAGAAAACCTCCAGTGAGATTCTACAATAATCAAATTGTCCTTTAAATGCTGATTGATAGAAAATAACTGTGCACATGTTAAAGACACTGTATCAGTTTAGTTTGTTGTTAACATTAGCATCTACAATTTAGTGCAGAAGCTCACTCATATTTTTGTGGTAAATGGTTATATGTTATTGTCTCCTTTCTTAAATAAACCAAGTAAATGTGCTGCACAGATTACAGGAAACCTCAGATCACTGGGAGAACGGTCGTTAAAGAGGGAGATGTTCTGAATCTAACCTGCTGTATTGAAAGTTTTCCTCCAGCTCTTATTGTTTGGAATACGTTGACTTCCAATATAAATCCTTACAATGGAACTAACACTGATCTGTACAATGACACTGGATCAGCTACACTTGTTATCCAGAATGTGGCAGCAGAACATTCTGGACAATATGTCTGTGCAGCAAAACATCTGGATACAGTTCTAACTGTAAATGTCAACGTAACTGTGACTTGTAAGTAGACGGTAATAATCTTCTCAAATCTGCAGTTCACTAATACACATAAGTTTATAAACCTGACAGGTAGTCAGCTTCAGTATTGTTTCTGATAGATGAAAGACCATTCTTCCAAAAATTCTACCTCTTTTTGGTGTTTCAGTGACTATAGTGGAGAGCACTATTAGAGAAAAATAAAGCCAAAACAGAAAATTTCCCTCAGTGTGAAAAATATTGGATTCCATCACAGTATTACATTTATTGTTTCATCCCACTTTACTTGTGTGTCCCACAGATAAAAGGAAACTTCAGATCACTGGCAATACAACTGTAGAAGAAGAAAATGTTCTGAATATGACCTGCAGTATTGAAAGTTTCCCTCCAGCTCTTATTGTGTGGAAAAAAATGAGTACGAACACAAACCTTCATAGTGGAACTTACCTGTACAATGACACTGGATCAGCTACACTTACCATTCCAAATGTGACAGCACAGCATTCTGGACAGTACATCTGTACAGCAAAACATCTGAATACCACCGTGACGTCTTATGTTAGTGTAACTGTGACTTGTAAGTAGACAGTACTAATCTTCTAGTAAAGTTTAGAATTTCACATAATTGTATAAACATGATAGGTAGCCAAAAACCTTGATCTGTATTGTTACAGTAAGCCTGTTTTAAATGTCATGACATAAAGATAAAGGTGGGTAAGAAAATAGAAATACATTTTCAAAAATAAAATAATAGTTATCAGGCCACAATGCACTGCCAGAGCAGCTACTGTACAATTTGGCATTGTTTCTCTGGAAAACTACTGGAGCAATGGAACAGTTTTTTGAAAGACATTCCCTCTTTTTGTGTTAAATTTATATTAAAATATTTATGTTTTAGCCATTTCATCCTTTCTTAACTTAAATAAATTACCAAAATGTGTTTCACAGATTCAAGGCAACCTCTGATCATTGGGAATAAAACTGTTAAAGAGGGAGATGTTCTGAATTTGACCTGCAGTGTGGACAGTATCCCTCCAGCTCTTATTGTGTGGAAAGAACCTAGCTCCAACACAAACCTTCATATTGGAACTTACACTGATCTGCACAATGACACTGGATCAGCTACACTTGTCATTCAGAATGTGGCAGCAGAACATTCTGGACAGTACATCTGTACAGCAAAACATCAGGACACAACTCTGATTTCTTACATCAATGTGACTGTGACTTGTAAGTAGACAGCACTAATATTTCACTATAATATATTGGAAAAGTAGCCATAATTTCATTTAAAGGTATAATAAAGTGTTCCAAAATGTAGAGTGTGATGTCCCTTCAACTTTTGAATTGTTAAAAGAGAAATAGAGGTGAATTGGTAAATTGAAAGAGAGATAACATAGATTATCTTATTATGACCCTTCATCAATACAAAATGTAATATCATCAAAAGTCCACATTAATTAAAACACTTTCTAAAATATTTAGACCAAATTATGACTACCTTACCAGCATATGTAAGTACTAAACACCACCCCAAGGAAACTTATTATCGATTGATTTGTCACTGTATTAAACAATGGATTTTAATTGCATTAATGTTATTAATGACATTATTAACTATTATTCCCAAGGATATTCCCTCTTTTAGTGTTTTGATGTGAATGATACTGAGCAGTATGAGGAACAAGGAAACTTAAACCATGCCAACAAAAACATGCTCCCTATTATACTTGAGAATAGTCAGATATCATCTTATCAAAAGATATTCCCACTTTCTGTGTTTAGGTATCTTGAATAATTATTTTGTTTCCCTCCATACTGTAAATAACGACGACACTGGTGTCCCTCACTGCATCATCAAGGCAAAAATAAAGCCGAAACATGCTAGCCAAAATGCCCCCTACATGGAAAAAGTATTGTACAAAATCACTGTCTGGGTCAAAAGTTTAGTCATCCATTAGAATATACAAATATTTTTTTATTTTAGCCATTTCATCCTTCTTTATCTTAAATAAATTACTAAAATCTATTCCGCAGATTTAAGGAAACCTCTGATTATTGGGAATACAACTGTTAAAGAGGAAGATGTTCTGAATTTAACCTGCAGTGTGGAAAGTATCCCTCCAGCTCATATTGTGTGGAAAAAACCTAGCTCCAACACAAACCTTCATACTGGAACTTACACTGATCTGCACAATAACACTGGATCAGCTACACATGTCATCCAGAATGTGACTGCAGAAGATTCTGGACAGTACATCTGTACAGCAAAACATCTGGACACAACTCTGACCTTATATGTTGATGTGACGGTGACTTGTAAGTAGACAGTACCAATCTTCTACTATATTTAGTTCAGCTCTGTTCTCACCTGTTTCCATTCATCGTCAGTATCCAGTGTATTTAAGCCCTCAGTTTCCCTCAGTTTCTTGTCTCGTCATTGCCTATTCCTTATGTGTGTTGTCAGTTCAGTCCACTTAATCAGTTTAGTTTACCTTCCATGTTCTGGGACTCTCCACCATTTGACCTTAGAACTGAAGAAGCTTCTCGGATGAGAGGTGAAACATCTTCAAGCAACTTAAAGAAGTCCAGATGCTTTTCTTTGCAAGCTCCTTTGACTACGATGACCTGGATGACTGAGAACCTTCACAGACATATCTTCCATGTTCTGTTCATCCTATCTTTATAATAAACACCATGCCCATAGTCAGTCAGTATGTGCGTCCTGCATTTGGGTACTCTCTTTCCATTCCCAAACACCTGACTCTCAAGAAAGAGTTCCATAGCACAGAGTGTGATTTGCCTTCAATGTTTGAATTGGGAAAAGAGAAATACAAGTGAATTGAAATCTAATTATGGATGAGATACCAATATTACTTCTATTCCCAAGGATATTCCCTCTTTTAGTGTTGGGATGTGAATCATGGAGAGCAGTATGAGGAACGAGGAAACTTAGTCTTTCATGATTCTTTAAAGGTTATCTTGAATAATTCTTTTTTCACCCTCCATATTATAAATTGCTGAATTCTGTTCCACAGATAAAAGGAGACCACTGATAACTGGGAATACAACTGTTAATGAGGGAGAGGTTCTGAATTTGACCTGCAGTGTTGAAAGTATCCCTCCAGCTCTTATTGTGTGGAAGAAAGTTAGTGACAACACAAATCTTCGGAGTGGAATTCACACTCATTTGCACAATGACACTGGATCAGCAACACTTTTCATCCCAAATGTGACAGCAAAAGATTCTGGACAGTACATCTGTGCTGCAAAACATCTGGACACAATTGTGACCGTAAATGTCAGTGTGACTGTGACTTGTAAGTAGACAGCACTAATCTTGAATCTGAAATTCATATTCATACCAAACTCACAATTTACTTTGTTTTATGATCTGGCATTTCTTTTTACAGGGCTATCAAATATTCAAAATGGTTCAGGATGTGTGCTTCAGTCACAGGTCTTGACCTGTGTGTGTATCATTGAAGGGTTTCCTTTACCTACCATCCAGTGGTTGCCCCTCAAGAACAACACTGAGTACTCTGTCATTACTGCTGTGTCAAATGACACAGTCAACAGCACTGTCAGCCTAAATGTAGAAAAGCATGGCAACATCACTCTTGAATGTGTCAGCAACAATGGAAATGAAGAAGCTAAAGAAAAATTCACAATCCACAACAACTCTAAAAAATATGGTATATGTTTTCAAATAAATACTTTTTGACCACTACAATTAGATTTTTGTAGTAACACATAAGAAAACATTTAACTTGTGCAAAATATAATAAAGTAAAAATATGCTTTTTTCCCATGTTGTTCCTTTGAGTGCAGAGCAACCGTTAGATTTAAGCAAGGGATACCTAAAAGTCATCATTGCCTTTTTGATTGGGACACTTCTTACAGCAGTTGTTTGCTTTTTGGCCCAAAAGTATTACAGGTACAGCATTTACTTTTCTAATTATTATTAGGTTTTCTCTGTAAATAAGGCTGAACATGAATTTGCTTCTTTAAAAGTATAATTCTCAGAAAAAAACAGAAGAGCTCTGGAAACCTTCATGAGACTTTGGAGATGGACAGACGTCAAGATGATCCACAGGTAGTGATGTTCATCTGGCATTTTTTAATATAACTGGTAAAATATGAGTTTTTGCTCACATGTCTAGAATGCTGAAGTGGCCATATTTACACTTTATTAATTAATATTTCCTAATTGTTTTTTGTACTACTAAAAGTCTGCAAAGTTGCAAAGTTCCAAAGCTTTTGAAATTAAAAACATCAAAACCAATTTGAAACCATTAAACAAGTACTGCATGTGGATTATAGTGAAGTTTCAACTTTTTAAGCATTGAAAGAAGTTTCATTTAAACTGTAAAAAAGGTTTCTACAATTTGAAAGGAAATGGGCCATTTTCATTCCACAATGAACTGATTTCTTTTACATACCCACCATTTGTTTGTCCGCAAAGTTTAGTTCAAATTGAGAAAGTTCATTTGTGCATAATTTCACTAACGGATCAACTGAAAACATGTGTTAGAAGAGAAACAACTGCTCATAATGCCAGTTATTTTGCAAGTGTTTAAGCCTGAAAGCATTTTTATGAATTGTGTTGGGATTCAGTTTGAAATGTGTATGGTCAAACTATAAGGTTTTGTTACCCATACTCATAGAGTTATGACTACAGATACAGTACAATCAAGATTGTGTGCCAACCAGACACATTCACTAATCATAGCAGTCTGGACTTGCAGACTAAGCAGGAAAAGAGATGCTTTATAACACTGAAACCTGCGCACTTATTCTGGTGAACCAAAATCTAATCATGAACCTATAAATGAGCAAACATGCATCTTTAACAGCCATGATCAAAAACAACAAATACAAAAACTGCAAAGCATGACAGTAATTCAAGATTCAACGTTGCATCAAGTTGATTGTCAGGCCAAAAAAAAAAGTCACAACAATTTAATAACAAAAGAATGTAAAGATACCAGATAGAAATGAACAACTAATATTATTTACTTTCTATCTAACAGGTATATGATGGTTCCCTATTAGAAGAAAATCAGACTCTCAACTTAAACCGTGGACCAAAAGAAGTGGAGTATGCTGACACTAATTTATCCCTTTGAAAATAAATAGTGCCAGGGAAGCATTAAGGAGGAAAGCAATAAATGATGCTCACATTAAGAAAGTAGTACAAGAAGAAGGTGGAGATGATGGTGGAGAAGAAGGTGAAAGTGGAGGTGGTGGTGGTGGTACTGGAGATAAAAGACTGTTTTCCAGAAAAGGAGGACGACATAAGGATAAGTATTTGTTTTAAATGTCCATCTGGTCAGAAAAAAGTGCTTGTGGCCAATATGGTTCTCAGTTTCAGAAAAATATTAAATAATCAAATGTTCCAGTGTCAGCTTGTCTCTCAAACTATCTGAAATAGCATGATATTTTAGAAAATGTCATGGTTGATACAAATTTTAGATATGTCTTTATTATATTAAAATCTCCAGTTTAATGTTAATCTTAAATCTGTATGTTGTGGAATGATTTTTCCTGTTTTATTGTTGACATGGCAAATGCCCACCCTGAGATTGTCTTGTCAGAAACATTGAAAAGATATAATTAAAAGTGTGTACATTTATTTACGAATAAAAGTTGCCCTTTTTTACCATACAGCTACTTAATATTTTGTTCTCAGTATTTTGTTCTCAGTAATGTATTTTTCCCAGTTACCAAACTTCATATCTAAGGTCATGTATTTTCTTTTCTCTGAAAACCTCCAGCTTGTAAGAAATTTCCTTATGTTATGTTGGCATGGGTATCCACCATATTGTTCCAGTGGCATTTAAAATTGAATGACATAAATTGAATTTATACAGAGCCAAATCACAGTTGCCTCAAGGCATTTAATATTGTAGGGTAAAAAACCCAACATATAAAACTGAAAAAAAAAAAAAAAAACTGTGAGATTTGACACTTTTGTTTATAGTGAGTTTTTTTCTCTCTACCCTTCACACCATTCACCAATAGGGGGCAGTGTAAACCAGCAGCGGTACACGACAACTCAGATACTGTGGAGTTGTGATCCTGGTGCTGCTGCACCATGTCTGATGATTTAATCAAAGTCAGAACACCTATTCATGCTGTAGCAGTCTGAATTGTGTAACACAAGCAAATACAGGACCACATGTCATAGGTATGTAGTGGAGAGGAGGGCCCAAATGTAATCTCACAGATAGACAGAGTGAAACAAACAAGCCGTTTATTTAGGCTGATGACCAAAATACAAAAAAGGTGAAACACAAAATACAAAAGGGAACTGAAAACCTCTACTCACAGAAATCGGAGAATAAACACTATGGAAAGAGAGCACTGGAGCTGGAGAAAGTGAACTGACAAAGGACAAAGGGAAAGATAGCAGACTTACCAAAATAAAACAGGAAGGGAGATAACTGAAGGGGGAAAACAGTCACATGAAAAGACTAAGTGCACCGGGCTTGAGACAAAGGGGGGAATAAAACCAAGGCAGCTGCTAAGAGGGTAACTACATTGAGTAAGAGGGACAAATACAAGAGTCAACATAAACATTAGGCAAGCCAGGAATTTATAATACTTAAATAAACTAAACTGGAAAACAAACCCAGGACCATGTCATTGCAATCAGTTTCTGATTTTATGCTTGTTTGCACTGCAGACTGTTTCAACATGCAGGTCTAAAAATCACGGGGGGGATAAAATAATTTAGCAGAAAGCAGGGACATGCAAACTGACTCTGACTGAAACCTAAAACTATATTAAAAAAAACAAACAAATAATTTCCAGAGAAATAATGAAAAGCTGAACCGCTTGCTAAGAATTCAAAACCACAAACCCAAAGAGACATAACCGAACAGAGAATATTTAATAATAAACATAAATTCAAAGTTGAAAAACTGTTTCAGTCATGGATGATCTTGCCTTTGTTTTTAAAAAGAAAATAAAAGTTTGGGGGTTTTTTTGTAATTATGAGTTGATGATGACTATTTTATTATATAATATAGAGCATATATAGTGTTATATACAGGGCTGCACATAAGTGTTGCGCATTCGCTGTCAAAATAAAAGACGCGCACTAGATAAGAAGTTGCAACGTGCGTTTGCGTACATATAAAAGGCACTGTTTTTGTCTGCTGGGATTTTCACGGCATATTCTGCACCACATCTCTGTGCGTTCATCACTTGTTTGAGAGCCAGCTCATCTCCTGCAACCACTTTTCCTAGAATATGCGCTTCTTTTGCGGTTCGGGCTCCTTCTGACATTTCTTTGGAGGTGGAGGAACACCAAAGTAATTGCTTAAAGGAGCTTGCTTCTTTAAGAGTTCTAAACAATTGTCTGTCCTCCACCAGAAAATCCTATTTACGCAAACGCGCTTTCTTATCTGGTGCGCGTCTTTTATTGTGACAGCGAATGCGCACCTGCGGACCACTTATGTGCACATAAGATAACTTCATAAAAGTGAATGTGTCATAATCAAGTTTGAATGTATCATACACTTCCTGACATCTTGCTGTAAAAATACGGAAGAAAGGAAAAAGAGAAGCTTGAAGATTAAAAGTCAGCAGAGTTTCACTGTGGATAGAAGAGTGAAGAAGAAATAGACAAAAGAGGTAAAAAAAACCCAACAACATTCATTTAATGTTTTTTTCAAAATATCTTTAAAACACTAAACAATATTGTATAAAGGTGTTGACTGTGCTGGTCAAAAAATGTGTTAGTTTGAGAATCCACTGTTCACAGTTCTCCAATTCATTAAATCATGCAGATGATCTAAAGTTAAATAAAATACAGTAGTAACAGTTTTTATTGTATTAGTGATCTTGTTGAGCTGTAAAAAATATTTTTGCTTTGATCATTTATCTTTTGAGAACAGATCTTTGTTTACCAGGAAAACTTTAGGGTAATGATGTAGGCATACATAACTACGGAATAACCAAGCGTGCAACATCCTCTATTGCAATGTGTGATGTAAGATGTTGAATTCCCTTAATATCTCTTTACTTCATT